TTGCTGTCGGTTGCGACGCCGACGCCGACGTTACCGCTGACTGGCTGATCTATTACTATCAGTGCTGTAACTCGTTTTTGGCTTGCATTAGCATTTTCCAATTTTGTTTCTACCTCGTTTGCTTGTTTAGTTTTTAATGTTTTCTACATACAGTGAGTGTCATTAAAAAACCTACAGTCAAGTTTTATCCTTGTTTTAATATTTTGTTTTATTTAAATTTTATTAAGTTTTATGTATAAAATAATAAATATGGTTAACACTACAATAAAATCCATAAAACTCGAAAGTTTCTCACTTTGTAACAATACCAAAAAAAAATAAATAAAAAAATAAAAAATCGTGAAACATTTAATCAAAATTTCACACTTTTCACTCAGAATTTTAAAGATTTTTTTCAGTATTCAACTTTATAGCGATTTGGCGTTGATTTCATGGATTTTTTTTCGCTGATGGTGTTGCGCATTTTCTTACTGTATAAAAAAAAATCCTAAAAAAGTATGAAATTTTGATGCAAATTTTACGGTTTTTTTAATTGTAATTTTTAATTTACTGTATTTTATGGAGTTTGTTGAAGTGTGAACTATATAGAGCCCTAACTTGCAGAAATTCATCTACATAGATTCTCCAGGAACATTTCTGCATCAAAACGAAAATTTTAGGCTCGATATTTTCATAAAAAATTTATAAAATTTATACAAAACAAAATATTTTCAAAAAAATACTATAAGATTTTAACTGACACTCTCTGTACATATTCTAATTTCCTCAATCTACCCCCTCGTTTGCCACGTTTTTATTTACATTTTTGTTTTGTGTTTATAATTCTTATACGTGAAAGAAAAGCTAGCGCTATTCAAAAATATATCTAAATATAATGCAGGCGTGAATAAAAAACGATCAATCCCAAAAACAAAATAAAAACAAATTATGAACAAATAAAAATGCTCAAAACGCTTTGAATACAGACGCTCAATTGAAGTGCTAGACCCACCTTCGAATATCTTACATCATCGCCTTGACGACTACAAGTATTTGCTGCTAGCTGACAGCTTAGTGCTGCTCGCTAGCGCCTAACCACTGACGCTGTCCACAGTCGAGGGCTAGTCGCTGACAGCTGGTGTTGACCGCAGTCTAATATGCTGC